GTGTATCAATTTTAGTGTCTTTAACAAAAAAAAACAAAAAAACAAAAAAAAATCATGTGAGCATTAAGAACAAACTCGAAAAAAAAAACAATTGAAGATGGTGAAGTCAAAAAACAAATCAACGCTTTATTTCTTTTCTTTTTCTCTTCTCACCCCTTCTTTTTTTCTTTATTTTTTTTTTTTCTTTGCTTAATCCAAAATTGACGTCTCATGTCTGATATTAACATAAATGTACACATATAAATCTATTCTCCATTCATTTTATTTCTATCTCATTCGGAAACAGTGGTTAATTGAGACAAAAAAGAAAAAAACACATAAAACGGTAAAAAAAAAAAAGATACTCTTGTAAATTAAACTGAGAATGCATTCCATCTTTATCGATCAGCAAGTAAGTGGTAAAACACACGATAGTATTATAGAAAACTAAAAAAAACAAAACATTATGTTGGAGAATGGATTTAGTTCGTTTATTTCTATTTTGTCTTGTCTACAGTCTTAGATATAAATATATATGTATACCTATATTATTTTTGTGTTCAGTCCATGTACAAAAAAAATAAAAAAGAAATTGTATTTATTGTCCTATATAATTCTTTGTGCTTCTATAATGTAAATACAGAAGATCTCATTATAATACAAACGTTTATCTTTTATTTACTATTCTTTACATTTTATTTTATTGTAATATTTATCCATAGAACTTTCCTGTCCTTTTCGTTCTTTTCTTTTTCTTTATTTCTCTCGAATAGATATCATATTCTTTTGTGTATATAGATATTGAGAAAAAAAAACCCCTCAGCAAAAATAAATAAATATGTAGAAATGTAAAAAATAAATAAGACCTTGTTAAAATGTATTTATGCATATACATCTATCACCTTGACCGATATAATCTTAGTTAGAGAGAAATATTTTGAAATTGACAAAAAAAAAAAACTCAATGATTTATTGATACGAAAACAAGGTTATTTTTAGTTTTCAAGGTAAAAATAAATAAATGTACATGAAGGAAAACAAAATAAAAGCATAAAAACAATAAGACAAAAAAATATCATCGATGAATAAACAAGATTAAAATTGAAATAATATGTCGAAAGAATGATGCATCTTACTTTTTAAAAAATATTATATCAACCTTAATCAAAACCTTGAAATTTAATGTCAGGTTCATGGCAAACATATAGTGAGCATTGAACAGATATATAAGCTTACTGATTGAATGTATATTTTGATTAATGTAGCAATTATCTGTAGACAAAAGAAACAATGTCCTTTGTCAAGTAGCAATTGACAGATTCGTTATTATGTGCATTACAAATGATGATATTGATACAGTTTTTTTTTTTAAACAAGTAGAATAAAAAGTACTTGTGAATCAAGACTTAATCTTCAGAAAACTGTTCATCTGTACTTTATGATCAATATTCAGATTAAGTAGTTTTTCTAATAAAAAACAAAACAAAATTAAACATATTTTCAATGGATTATAGAATGTTTTATCTTCAAATTGATTTCATTTAATATTTGATAATTATTTGTTTGATTTTTATTTTTCATCATCAATAAACTCAGTTATCGAAATGGTACTTATTTATCCTTTTCTTCTCACCGTATTATTTATCACATATTTAACAATTTTTCTATAGCCTTGAGAAAAAAAATACTCTTTCGATAAGTGTAGTACCTACTGACCCACTTCATATTTGTGGTTAATATTCGATGGTATTAGATTAACATGTTCTATAATTATAACAAATTGTAAAAAGAAATGATGATTGATATTTGTTAATGGATTATGTTTTAAATGTATTATTGTAATTGAGATATTTTATGAATGAGTTAACATTAAGATGATTACAAAATATGTTCGGCATATTAAATGCTTTTAACACAATCTTTGTTGGATTACATTATTTAAAACGATGTAACTACTATTACTATTTACAGTTAGATCATTTTATTTGTTCTACTTTGACATAGATTTCTTCACCAACCGTTTACTTAATCGTTCTCAAATATCATAAGGAAGCAGTTCACTGATTATAGCGAGGTGTTAGTAATATATGGTCTGTGATTGTATATCAACCAGATGTGTCACGGTCTTTGGCAGAGAGGGAAAAGGTTACTGGGAATGTCTGTAGTATATTATTGCTGAAATGTCTGTCATGTCTGTAATAAGATTTTTCTAGTTTGTTTATCAAAGTCTGTTGATTTCATTTGACATAGATTATGTGACTCATAAGTTCGTTGCAAACTTCTACCCTATATATGTCAATAATTTCTTTTGAAGCATGTTTCACAAAACTATCAATTGGACTCCATATTTGTTATGCGTATCATGAGAATTTTTAACAGATGTTCTTATGTGTATGAGACCGTACTTAAGTAAAGAAATATCTAAAAAACATAACCAAAACAAAGAAATCAATTAAACGAGATATGATAATGGAAAGTTTTTCATGTCATTGATCTAACATTATATCTTCTAATTATTATTTCAATTAGAATAAAAAAAAAAACAAAGAAAAATACGAGTAGACAAATAGAGATATTTACATTATCAACGAATAGTTTTCTAATGTGTTTTTTTTAAGAATAACATGCTCATATATCTTTTGACAACTCTTTGCGTTTACATATCTAGCAAAAACAATATTTCTATCTTTGTTTATAAATTGCTGCATAAATATACTACATAGATAAAGATTCGATCAACTATTTATAGGTAGTGAATCTGTGCATATTGAATGTCATATGAAATGATTAGAATTAAAGGAGAAAGCTGTTTTAAAACAATTAGATATTGTATTCAATGATTGTGGCCAATGCAAACTTTTATCTTAATTAAACTCATAGATAGTATCATCTTACATAATAATATCTAGCATTAGGAATACAACCTTTCATCTCATATAATGATATAATTGATGTATGAGAAAATGTTGGAATGGTTGCGTGATCTATGTATTACGTTCTTTTTTTTCTATATATATGCATATTGGTATATATATATTTTCCTCTCTTTTTCTTTACATAGAACTATTTCTTCGAAAAAATTGACATAGAATTTATGTCGAATGCCTGTGCTCTATCATCACATAGACAAGCGTTTACATATATATATATACATAAATATGTTGTCTGCTTATGTTTATATTCCTATTAATAGCATCCAAACAAAGTAACGATAACTAAATGATTTTTGATTAGAAAGAATATTTGAAGACAACAAGTAATTTATTTTAATTAAAGAGAGATTTTAAAAAAGAAAGTCATGTGTTTAATAGATATTATAGCTTTGTAATTGATGAGTAATGTTTCTATCTTAGTTCTAATATAGATCTTCGAAATTAGTTAATTCTAAAAATATCTTAAGAAAAATACGTATCGGATCTATAAAAATTCAGTGTTATCACATTAATTTCAATATACTGATTTCTTTGTTATAAATTATTCTTAGATACAATATTGTTGATAGAAAAAGCTGGAAAATTGACAATACAAAAATAACTTCTGAAAAAAAAAACTACTGTATGGCAGCTGTTGCGAAGTACTTTGTTGTTTTCGCAGTCTGTCTGGAATATTATAAAACAAGAATGTATTCATCTATATGGAAACAATATCTTTATAAGTTGATGTCTATTATCAACTTAGTTCTCTATTTACCTTAATTATTTGCTTCGTTGTATTCTGATTTTTTAAAGACTTACACCAAAATCTCTCAAAAATACATGAATAATTTTCCATTGATCACTTATTTCAATTTGATGTATTTTTATCATATTTTATCCCTCACTAAGAGTAGTTTGTTACAATTATTAAATGAATATAATTAATTCTTAATTCAGTTTAGTCGTAACAAATATGATTTTTTCTACAATTAAATTTGTCCAACATATTCAATATAGACAAATTTAATGTCAAGTGAAGTAAGAAGAGAATATTCAATGATTGATTATCATCAGATTCACATTTACCAACATCGTATCATTATTATTTGAGATTTGTCGTCAATAGGAAAATTACTAAATCGAATAGAATTATAAAGACAATCAAATGCATAGATATACGATATAGTGTTAAGTGTACAGAAATAGTTTATGAAACATAATTACTTATGCTTGTTCTATATCTATCTATAAGAGAGTGTTGATTATTATCATTAGGCAAATAATGGACTCAATAACTTATTTAATTATCTCTATAAATATGAAAGAAAAAAAAATATGAACTCTTCGTATAATTATGAACAAGAATTTTATTCTGACATGCGTTCTATTGAGAAAAAAACAAAAGTTCAATATGATTGTTTATCGTAATGTAGATATAATGTTCCTTATACGTGCCTATATAGAAGCATAAGTATCTATGAATAGATATTTTATAAGTTAATGATAGTTTTACTTGTTTGCTTGCTTTCTTCTTTTGTCTGTCGTCATAAATACATTTATTGAAGAGATACGCCTTCTTCAACACACTCATTCTTAAGATTATCATTTGTCTCGGATTGCTTTTATATATTTTGTTTGGTTCCACGAAACAACATATCATTAGAAAATTATAATTTACAGCATAAGAAATCGAAGAAATGTAAATGATCATGATGCTAAATCTAAATAATCTACTAAATGAATCATTCTTAGAAATATTTTATATTTATAGAGAAGTTATCTAGTCATAAAATTTCATTATAATTTATAAAGTTTATTTTCATCGGAAAATAAGAAACGGATAAAATAGATTCGACTTCAAAGATTTTTCTTTCTAAAATTTATCAGGGAAAAACTTTAATTGAAATTTGTTAAAATGACTTGTGGATGTTTCAAATGATCATGATTCGAAAAATTAGTTCAAACTGGTATGAAGTGACATCTTTTGCTGATGGTCAATGATATCTTCCAATGCCATTTTTTTTTTCTTCTTTAGTTTACTTGCTTTTCTTATTCGAATTCTTAATAAATTATATTATATCATTAAGTTTAGTATACTTTTGAAAAATGCTTTCAATTATATCTCACAATCGACCTGTTTCATTCCATCAAGTACTTACTCTTTTGACATCCAGTATTCGTTATTTAACATCAACTTCATCGGATAGAAAATCGAATGATGATGTCGACTATCATGATCGTTTAAATACAACAAAAAAAATGCGTCTATTAGGTTTACAGAGTAGTCAAGCTCGTCAAGCACTTTCAATCTATGATGATTATGTCAATCGACAAAAAAAATTGCCTGATTTACGAATGTTTGCAGTTGCTATAAATTGTGCTATGATTGCTGAAGATTTAGCTAAAGGTCGTGAAATTCATCAATTTATTGAACATAATTTTCCACATTTGAAAGATAATCTTATGTTAAAACAACAACTTCGTTATTTTTATATTAAATGTAATGATAAACTATCAGCTGATAAACTTTTTCAACAATCATCAACAATAAAACATACACAAACAGAAATACAACAAAAATTTAAAACTAATAAATCTTGATTATTATTTAATAGATAAAATAGGATATATTTATAACATTTGTTACGAAATAAAATCAAGAGTCGATGTTTGTTGCATCTTATGAAAATATATTGATAGTTTGAAACGTTTATTTTTCTTATATGTTTTCAGTGACTTAGATTTTTTTCTGAACGTTTTGTTTAAAGATTCTCAATTGAAATATGAAGTATACTATTGTCTTTGTTAGATATTCTTGAATATATTCTCACTTCTTTTTTATTTTCAAGTGTTCTGAATACAAAAAAAAAATGTATTCATGCGTTTCTTTTTTTGTTTTTTAATTCATAATCAAGAAATTTCAATTTTTATCTCAAGATTTAATTAAAATATTCTTGTCATGGTATGTATAACATTACAGATTCAATAGTTTAAATACAATTTACATTTAGGAAATACTCATGTTGAAGTATTTATTCGTCTCGTAACTTATATTGACTTGTTATGTCTAGCTCAACTAGAGAATGCTTTTAGTTCTAAGATATTCAGCTCTCTTTTTTTTTTTTCTAGATTTCGTAATTTTTAATTGTTGTTTTGATGTATCAGGAAGCTCAAATGTAACGAAAAAATAAGTAAAATAAATTATTTTGATTTGTTTTGTGATCATTTTGTTACTATTATCGTATTATTTCATATGAATAAACATGTTTCTTTTGTTGTTTCATGCATGATCGATATTCGAAGAAAGAAGAAACATTTAAAATATAAGTGATTCATTTCGTATGAAAGAAAACAGAAATCATGTTTGAGGATATGAATGGTCGTATTGACATAATGATATCAATTTTATTTTGAATGATAGTAAATCAAACAATAGTAGACATACGCTAAAAATCTCTGGTCGTAAATAAATACCTCTCGAAAGAAACAGACGACATTATACATTATTGTATACAAAACTAACATAGTAATTTCTCAAGATATCAGTTTTGAATATAGTTTTCTCTTATAAGAATCCTATTATATTCTGATCTTGTCAATGTAAGCCAAGTATCACAACTGTTTGGTGTCTGTACACATAAAGCAACCATTATTTGATATCATTCTTATACACAACATCATGATTTCAAAAGGCTGAAGAAGACTATAGTGATGCAAAGTTAACAATAGAAAGTCTATTTATATAAAAACATCTCGAGACCATAATAAAATTACGAAACTACAGAATTTTAGTAATATGTTCCATATTCCAACAACTTTTGTAAGAGTCAAAGGATGAAAGACGAATCGTCCGAAGCATGACTTTAGACTATTTCTCCTGTAGATATTTAAAATAAAAATTTAATGAAACCAGCACATTATGAAAATAATATTTATAAAACTAAGATTATTCTATATTGATTTTTGACTTATTAGTTTGTGCAAATAAAAAACTGCTTGAAGTAAACAAAACAATAATTTCATATGAGTTTCATGAATCTAAAAGTAAGAGTAGTAAAGATATTCAAAAGAAGAAAAACAAATTTAATCATTACCTATTTTATAAATAGCGAAAACATCATATTGGTTTCATTAGTTTTGCATCATTTTTATTTCATGATTCTTTTTAGAAAAAGAACGGTATGAGTGTAAAAACAGATTGAATTTCGCGTCCTATTTATCTTATTCTAGATAGTTAAAAAAATAATGGTTTATTAAATTTGCCACTTTATGTGAATTTAGAATAGTTTAAGTTTCACTAATTCATCACATCAGTCTTTGAAGAGTAACTGACTTAGACACTCAAAACAGCGTAAAATAAACTATTCAACCTACGTTTGTTGATGATTCAAATGATAGAAAGCATAAACAATCTTTTTGTCATGCTTTTTTTAAAGTATAAGAAAAGAATAAAAAATGATATACAATGCAAATATCTTTTTAAATCACATCTCATTAAGTCTTACGCATGTTTAAGAGTTTTGATGCCTTATTTCATTGACTAGATCCGATATTTTGATACCAATCATTTGTCAATTGACATCAAAATTCATTGAAAAATAAATTAAATGAAGATTTACAACATCGTAATTTTGTTTTTCCTACAAAAATAAAAATGTCACAATCAGTTTTTATAAAGTCGTGAAACTAATTAAGTTCTTGCATTCGATGATCATTATATATATCGACAAAAAAAAAATATTATTTGAATAATCTATAGCTACAGTTGTTATGAGTTGTGCAATGACTATTTTCGATATAATTATATTGAAATGATATTGACTACTGTATTGAAGGTATTTATCCACAATTAAAATATAATTTAATATTAAAATAAGAGCTTTATTATTTTCATCTCAAATGTCACAATCAACTATCAAGTGACAAACCTATTCAACAATTATCAACAGTGGAATATAGAGAAAAACATAGATTTTCATCTCTTAATTCTAATCAACTGAATAATATGAAAATTTTAGCTGTTATAAAAACTAAAGCAATAAAAACAATGGTTACGACATAGGTTATTGATAGACACTTGTACATATTAGTATATTTTGACAGATTCCTTGTTACCTTGTTGTTTTTTATCTCTAATTATGTTACCTTTCGTTTTTTTTTCTTCTGTTTAATATCAAAATGTTATATACGCACTTATGTGCATGAAGTGTGACCAATAGCGAATTACAATAACGAAAAATAGTAACTTTTCTTGAAAGTTTTTTCTCGTTGACGTTTACTTAAACGGTATATATTATACAAAGAAGCATATTCGTTTTATGAATCTTCTTTATTCGGACTATTAATATAATCGTTATTAAATTCATTATGATAGAAGTCATAGGTATTGCTGCTATTTGTATTGGAGCTATAGCTGTAGCAATTAGTGGATTAGCTGCTATGGCAATTGCTTTTTCTCCAGTGGTATCATCTCCACAGGATAAATATACAATTGATGAAGACGAATATCAAGATCGTCTAAGATCAAATTATGAATCTGTATTTATGTACACTGGATTTGGTGTTTTTCCACGAGCTCATATTCCAAGATCTTCAGTTAATACTTGAAATACATTATTCTACTTTTCACACATTATTCAACATATTTATTTTGTCTTTTTTTTTATATTTATTACTCATTTAATTACTATGAATATATCAATCAACGAAATTCGAGTACAAATATATTCATATTCTTTCTTTGTAATTTATTCATAACTATAACGCAAGTTTTGTTTAAAATTGCATTTATAATTTTCTTTTAGTACTATATTCAAAACTATTTAAATATTTTATATGAAAATGCTCATGATGATCATGTTTTTTTCTACAATGTAATCTTATTAGTTGAAACATATAATAACAATTTTATCCCAATCAACAAAAATATATAGTTAGAGTTTAATTGACAATAATCAAATTGAACATATACAAATTACGAAAATCATCTGATCAATAAGATGAAACTTAATGTATTTAATTCGTTTTCTTTTTGTATTTGACAAAAAAAATAATAATGTACAAATGCATTTGATATAATTAACAATGCATAGATAAATATATATCAGTGTCGAATACAAGATCCAAGTATTGAACTAGTCTAAACTTGAATTCAGCAAAAGATCTTGAACAAATCTCAATTTTTTCATTGAGTTTCTATTAATAAATAAAATTTGTTTAATCAAGTTCTGACTTTTACACCGGGTCATAAAAATAAATACTATCAATTTGTTGAAGTTCACGAATAAAAAGTTTTATATCCAACAGCAACTTCACGAGTTTCGCTCTCAGTCTTTTAATTGATACAAGTTTGAACTATAGTTCAAACTCGAACCTTCAATGACATGCTTATCTATATTTGCTCACAAATATATGCATAAGTCAATTAACCAGAAAGGTCTGACATACTCTCAATAAGTCAGACTCTTCAGCAAATTATTTCTTTTTTTTTTTCGGGGAGTTTCATTAGTATGAAGATTAGAAAATAGAAGATACAAATTAGTAATTACTAAATAAACATTTACTATTTTTATCCATATTGTTTTAAAACAGTCTGGTTTATGTTGACAATATTAAACTATATACTCAATCGTAGAATAACTGATACACAGTACATTTTTTTGAATATAAATATTATTGTAAATCATCAATCATAAAATACAATATCTATTGTTCTTTTTTCTTTCATCATTGTTTAATCATGCGTGATTGATCTTTTTCACTCTGTACAAAATATTATCAAAAAAAAAAAAAAAAGGAAAAAAAGCACATTACACCTCGATGAGTTGAATAGAAGAAAAAAAAAATGTTTAAAATACACATACACAGACATACACTTGTTTGAGAAAAATGACACACATGAAGAAAGAAAAAAAGTAATCATGACTAGTCATAGATATAGAAGGAGAGAATAAAAAAAAAAAAGGCTAATGGGACGGACAAATTAGCACCAAATTAATAAATATATTTTTATGAATTAGTTTGGTGAAGAAGATATTGTTGGTTTCCATGGTTTAACACGAACTCGATAGAATTTCGTACCTAATGGTACATTAAAACGATTATTTGCTTTTTTAGCTTGACAATATTCTTTATCGGTAACTTGACCAAGTAATGGTGTTGTTGATGGATTAAATACATTATTACCAATTAATGCTGAATTAATCATAGATGTATTGATAAGTGATGGAATATTTGTTAAATTTTTTCCATTATCAGTTGATATTGAATCAATAACATTTGTATTATTTATTTGTTGATTTGAATTTTGTTTTTGTTGAATATTAAATAATTCATAACAATCTGAATGTATAAAATGTAATGTTGATAAATAAGTAAATATCATATAATGTTGATATGTTGTATCAAAATAAATAATAACATGATCTGATCGATTAACAGTAAAAAAAGCAATTGGTGTTGCTTGTGGTGGAGAGTTTATTGTTAATGTTGATATACGAGATGTTGATGACACAATTGGTGATGAACTAACAACTGAAGATATTGGAACAGTTGTTTGTGCTAATAATGGATTTGTTATTTGACTTGGTGGTGATGCAGCAAATGGTGTATATAATTCTACAGCATTACTTGATTCATTTGGAGATGATTTAAAACATGCTTCCATTAATAGATTATTAACTGTTGGTTGTATAGGTTGTTCACTGAAAAACGAAAAAACAAACAAAAGAAAATTATTAGAATTGTTTTTTTTATCTTTTCAAATCAATAGATAATATACCTCTCGTCGCACTAGGGGAGGGAGAATTATCAACTCGACTTCTACAAAAAGAATTACTGGAAAAGATACTGTATTTCAATCTTCATGTCAAATTTTGATTGATATAAAACGAGTTTCTTTAAATAACAAGATAATAAATTAATTAATATTCTTCTTTTTTTTTGATCCGACAGAAGATATTAAAACACTAATTAAATTAAAGAGATGCAGATTCAGAAATATTTACTTTATTTTGAAAAAGAAGTGACTGTAGAGACATATACTTGTCACTATGTGGTATTCATTATGATTATTTGTCTTTAATTATGGAATTACATAGTAACACACATTACTATCCATGTCATAATCATTAGCCTCTACTTAGGTCCATTGTTCTTTGAATGATTTATTTTTTGTTTCTACAAACGAGATTAGTGAAGTCTTCTACTATACACCTCGAAAAAAATTCCAAACGTGTATCATGACATTACGAGTAGAAGAAATATGAACTTGTTAATCTGTAATGGTGTTCAAATGCTCATTTCTCAGAATAAGTGATATTCACATAGTGTAAAATAACTAAAATATCAGACATCGACAGAAAAGGATAATAATAATTTCTAGAGATTATTCTTAGTTATGAATATTTGACGTCTGAAGAAACATATTTTATATACAGACAGTACCTGGTCAAGACAATTTAAGATTAATAAAAAATTTTTTTACTCTAAAAACTGAATTTGTTTGAAAACATTATAGAGGACTTCGAGTACAGGGGTTCTTCTATTTTGACTTTATATGAAATAGCTGTTAGCATAATCTCTACAGAATTATTGTTCATATATATTATAATAAGATGTGATTGATGTACGGTTTTTGACAGGATCAAGGCTATCTATCATGCTATGTGAATAGGAAATAGAGGAGCGGATGATTCACTTTTCTTGCTATATCTTTCAATACTCCTTTCATTAACTACTCATGAATTATTCATCAATGAATTATTATGAAGATAGTAATCTATTATTAATTAACTATTTCTATAGATTGATGTAATCAAACATTATAAAAATTCATTTGTTTTAGATTGTAATATCTATTGTCTGTCAATAGTAACAGTAAATTCTTTAAAATTTTTACTAAAGATAGAAACAATTTAAATGTACTAACAGAGAAAATTTTATTGATTTTTCTTTAGTTCGATAGATCTATTCAATAAAAAAAAAATATTTGCTATTACAGAAAACTTTTTAAGCGAGGTTCGGTTTGATATTTTACAACAAAGCAAAGCGACATACTTTGTTACTACTATATAAAAGAGTACTTTTTGATATAGAAAGGTAAATCTTAAAAAAAATCATTTCTTATATTATTTAGACATAATTTGATTTTGCAATCGAGTTTATCTGTATTTAAATATTTCATAGTTAACGAAGAATTAAAAAAAATAATAATTACGTTTTAGGTGATGTAGCAGCATTTCCAGCAGCTAACATGCTTTGCGCAATAAATGTACTTGGCATTGAAATAGGTTCACTACGTTTAATAAATGTTGTTCGATTATTAATATCATCAAAATTATTATTTTTTTCATCTTTATTTAATTGTTGTTCATCATCATTTGATGTTGTCATAACAGATTTTGTTATAGATGGTATTAATGATGGTGGTGTTGATGATAATGTATAAAAATTTTGTAATTTTTTAATACATTCTTTTAATTTAATAATTTTTAAACGTTTATCTTCTAATTGTTGTTCTAAAATATTAATTTGTTTTTTTTGTCCATCAGTAGCATTTTGTACAGCACGTTGTATAGCTAAATTAAATTGTATTTGTTGTTCTTTTGTTGTTAAACGACGAATTGTTTCATCATAATCATCGGTTGATGTTTGAATTGATTGATCAATAAATTCAATTTGATTTGTTTGTGTTAATTGATGTTCAGTATTAAATATAATACTTGTTTGTTTATCAAATTTTAATTGTTCATCTGTTTGTATATCAATTGTTGTTGTTAATATTTGATTTTTATCTTGTTCATTAGAAGATTTATCTATTTCAAATTCAAAATCTGATTGAAATGCTTTAACTATTTGAGATTTTTCTAATTCAGCTGTACGACGAAATTCATCAAAATTATTTTCAAGTGTTTCATATTTCAATATTAATTCTTGTTTTATTTGTTCATTTACATCACATTGAATCTAGAATAAGAAAAAAAAAAAATAAGAAAAAATAAGTCAATATTTATTTAAATACTTTTAATGTTTCATTATCTTGAATATGATTATTAATTTCTGAATGTAATTGTTCAATTTTTTGTTCATGTTCATAATTTAATTGTTGAAGATTTATAATAATTTTTAAAATAGTTTCATGATAATTTACTAAATATTCATGTTGGATTTTATTTGTTTGTTCATATTGAGTTTTTAATGATATAAAATCATTTCGAATATCATGTAAATATTCATTATCAGTTTGTTGTGATACACAAAGACGATGAGAAGGAGAAACTGCCATTTCAGTTGATGTATAAACAGCTTCAAGTGTACATTGTACATAATCATCTTCTTCTTCATTATTACTTATTGTATTTGTTGTTACATTTGTAGACGATGTTAATGTTTCATTTAATTCATTATCTGTTGATAATTTTGTTATTGAAACTATCTCTAGATGAAATTGATAGATTTCAAAAAACAGTTAAATTATTTAAAAACTGAATTTGTGCAAAAAAAAAAAGGAAACATTATCAAAGTTTATACACAATATAATTGCATCATGTGTTTATGAGTTATTCTGTATCAAAACTAGAAGTTGTCTAACGAGAGTATCTCTCTAA